CCCCAAAACCCCAAAACCCCAAAACCCCAAAACCCCAAAACCCCGTGGCTCAATCTTGAGATTGAGTATTAATGACGAATTTGAGAATAAATATTTTTGATTTGATGGAGATTTGGTTTTGATCGAGAAATTGATTATCTGATAATAAGTCTAAGATCCATTGATCTAGCACCCTTAATGTCATATTCGTCTTCAGTGATTTCAGGATAAGCTTCATAGAACTCATTCAGCTCCTCTTTAGAGTATTTGGATTCAAAGCAACATATAGCTTTCGATACAAGGAGCTTGTGTAAGAACTCTTTTGCTTCTCTATCATTTTTAGTACTCCATCTTTTGTCAACTTGCCCAATATAATTTAAATACATTGGGCATCTTTTGCTGTTTGTCTCCCAATCATCATTATGTCTGTAGAGATTACCATTGGGATTTGATTTGTCACATTTGTCACTGCTTGTACCACAGATGTAACACCAATCAGACTTACATTGAACACAAGTCATGTGGGTACAAGCATCATTATTTTATTCCTCCATATCCTCACTTTGGGCAGAATCTTTGAGAGCCCTTATTGATTGTCTGTTCCCAGTCTCTCTTAATTTTCTTGAGGTTGTATCACTTCTCATGAGATACAGGCTCATCTTCGTCAGATAAATCATCAGCGAACTATATAGAGAATATTACTTTCCTATTTTCTTGGCTAATTTAAATACTTTGTAAACATAAAAGATTTTAGTTTGGGGAAAACTGTCGATTTTGTAGAAGACTAATTTTCGAAAATAGTAAATTGTCTTCAGAAGAAATCTTAAAGCAATATTACCTCAAACTCACAAAAGCAAGCAGTGCAGCTAACTTTTCCGCACTCTTCATTCGATCAAACGAAAGTTATATCTTCTGAGGATAATGGCCAAACTTCAAAGTAATTGCAATAAGGACATCAGATGACTTCACTATCTCTCTTGTCTATAAGAGCTTTTGTACATTGCAAAGAATACTCTTGATGCTGATCTCCTTCAAGCAGAGCTTCAACCTGGCCATAATCCAGCATGACCTTACAGGAAGAGCATCTAGCTGGACACATTTCCTCTGAATTTCCAATGAGACTACCGATGAATCTTTTTCCTCATTCTATACAAAGGCAGTGCCCTTTGCTACACAAGATTCCCATCTCGCTTCCTTTGAATGTTCCTCCGCAGACCATTCAGTCTGCAACTTTGTTCGAGTCAATAGTTTCCATTAAAACAATTATCTTTTAACAATCAAAATTTTTTTTACTGGGGTTTTGGGGTTTTGGGGTTTTGGGGTTTTGGGG